GGTGAGATGAGGCAGGCAAAAGATGATGATGGGGCTGGGTTTGTAGCTCAGTGATAGAGCACTTGCCTAGCATGTGTGAGGCACTGGGTTCAGTCTTCAGCACCAGATAAAAAAAAAAATAAATGTATATTTTTTAAAAAGATGATGGTAGCTTAGATTGAAGTGTTAAGAAGTAGTTGGATTATGAATAGATTTTAAAGATAAAGCTGACAGATTGAATGTAGAGATGTGAGAGAGAAAGTAATCAATTTTTTTTTTTTTTTTTTTTTTGGCCTGAGCAATTAGAAACCTTGCTACCCAAGATGGGGAGCATTGTAATAGGATCTGGTTTAGTGCGAATGCCAGGAGTCCAGCTTTGGATATTTTAGGAATAAGATGCCTAGGAAATGTCCAAGTAGCCAAATAGATCTGAAATGAAGACAGCCTCAAAACATAAATTGGGCAATTATTGGCTGGATGATGTATTCAGAGCATTGAGAATGGGTGAGTTTACTTGTCAAGTGAGTGTGGATAAAATAGAGGAGAGTTCAAGAATTGAGCCCCAGGTAAGCCAATAAAGTTGAAAGCCTTGAAAGTTGCAAAGTAGGAGAAAATCGGGTAAATGTAAAGACCTAGAAGCTTTCAGGAAGAGAAGATTAACTGTGTTAAATGCTAAAAATAGTTTGGAGATGAGAATGGAGATGACCATTGGGTTTAACAGCCTGGCAATAAATTGGAAAAGAGCAGAGAAGTGGTGGGCACTAAAACCTGACTGGAATAGAAGTAGAAAAATCAGGGATATTTTTCAAGGAATTTGCTATCAAGAAGAGAGAAATGGAACAGTAGCCAGATAAAGTTGTGATATTTGTTTTGTTTTTTTAAATGGGAAAAAGAGCTACATGCTCTTATGATGACAATTAAGTAGGAAAAATTAAAGGTTATGAATGAACAGTGGGAATTGCTGGAGTCAAGGTTATGAGATTGAGTGCACAGGTAGGAAGTGAACTTGGTATACTAGAAGAGATAATTAATCTACAATAATAGGAACCTACACCAAAATGTGGGCAAAAATGTAGATAAGATTTAGGGTGAAATTATCTTCTGATTGTTTCAGTTTTTTTCAGTGAAATTAGAAGATTATCAAGCTGAGTGGCAGTGGGTTTGAGTGTTGCTGGTTTAAAGGAAGAGGAATAAGTATAAAATAGTAATCTGGGAGGGTGTGAGAAGGATGCAACAAGGAAATTTCTGAATTTTATGATTGTTAATTTAAGTAAACATCCTGTTTTTTTCCCTGTGGTTAGACATGCCACTATAGATACACAGACATAGTGTTTTCAGAGTTAATCCACAATAGTGGCTTCATTGGGCAGATGTACAGCTAAGGGGGAGAGGAGCAAGGAAGTATGTATAATTATTGGAAGTGACGTTTTGTTTAGAGGGAAGAGAGGACATCAGGGATTAAGTGACAATAAAACAATGTCAGGATCACAGGATTGTTCTAATGAAAAGGAGAATTATTGGAATTGAGTTACTTTATAATGTGAAGAAGCTGGAAAGAATGGGAGATGATCTTAAAAGAGTGAGTTGTTTGAAGCAGCTCAGGAGGCTGAGGCAGGAGGATTGCGAGTTCAAAGCCAACCTCAGCAAAAGCGAGGCTCTAAGCAACTCAGTGAGTCCCTGTCTCTAAATAAAATACAAAACAGGGCATGGGATGTGGCTCAGTGGTTGAGTATCCTTGAGTTCAATTCCTGTTACCCTCCCCCGCCACCTCCCAAGAAAAAGAGTAGGTTATTTGAAACTGAGATTCCTGTGTTTGGAGATATTTAGGTTATTTTTCACTATTCATTATCAAAAATAATACTCATACATCTTTGTATATAAAGGTTTTTTGACTCCTTATTTTTTTTATAGCTAATTGTCAAAATTAGTATTATTGAATTATGGGATACTAGTATTTTTAAGACTTTTTATGTGTACTAAGTAAATTTCCTAAAGAATGTTCCTGGGGTGTGTTGTTTTCAGCATTGAGTTTCCATTTCACTATTACTTTTTTTTTTTTTTTAACATCTTTATTTTATTTTATGTGGTGCTGAAGATCGAACCCAGCGCCCCGCGCATGCCAGGCGAGCGCGTTACCGCTTGAGCCACATCTCCAGCCCTCACTACTACTTTAGTAATATTAATTCTTGTTCTTACTCTTAGTCTCATTTTTTTCTTTTCTAGTTTGCTAAGTCAAAAAAGCTTTTTGCTTCAAGTACAAGATGTGTATTTTTATATAGGCATATCTAGTGATCTTTTAATAGTTTTCATTTTAAATCTTACAAAACACTCTATTCTAGAAAAGTGTGGCAAAGATTAATAATAACTCAATCAAGTAGATTTACTTACTAGCTTACTATATATCTGCAATAAATGGTTCAAAAATACACTGGAAATAGAAGTCCCATTTAAAATAGAAATAGATATAGCATATCTAGGTATAACCTAAATGAAAAATATGATACACCCTAAGAAACTTTAAAAACTTTACACATAGACGTTTTTTAAAAACTTTTTTAGCTGTAGATGGACTCAATATCTTTATTAATTCATTTATTTTTTACTTGGTGCTAAGGATCGAACCCACTGCTTCACATGTGTGAGGCAAGTGCTCTCCCACTGACCCCCAGCCCCAGCCCTACACATAGACTTTTTAAAAAGATGAATAGAGAGACAAAAATAATTTTATTTAAAGATGTGATTTTTTTTCTCAACAAAATGCATATTTAACAAATCTAGTTGAATTTAATTCCTTGTAAAGTTTCATAGCAATAAAAAGAGACACCCAAAGAAAAACTGTTAAAAAAGAGATAAAAGAACTAAAATAATACTCATGCCTCATGGAGTATATGTCACACAAAAGGGGATGCAATGATTTATTTAAAAGTGGTTTTAGAAGTTGGGGATTATAGCTCAGTGAAAAGTGCTCACATAGTATGCATGAGGCCCTGGGTTCAAACTTTAGCACTACAATCAGTCAGTCAAAACATTAAATAAGAAAAAGTGATTTTAAAACTTTTGGTTAGGTTTAAATTAGATTTTAATTTATAGTAAAATAGATTTCAGAAGATTCAAAGGAGGTGGGGGAAGGAAATTCCCGTGAATATTTTAATCTTTAAATTTTATTTTAGGGGCTGGGGCTATAGCTCAGTGACAGAGTGCTTGCCTAGCATGTTTGAGGCACTGGTTAGATCCTCAGCACGACATAAAAAATAAATTAATAAACAAAGATAGCATGTGTCCCTCTACAACTAAAAAAAATTTTTAAAAATTTATTTTTATCACTTCTGTCATAAATAACTATTTACTTAGTTGTCTAGTTGAAACTTAAAGTTAAGTCTTTCAGGAGAAACAAAATGTTTCCTTTTGTTGAACCTTATGTTGAACCTTTTGGGAACCTTTTGTTGAACCTTATGAGAATCTTGTTTGGTTTCAAATGGCTTTTTAAATATCCAGGCATGGTGGTGCACAACTGTAGTCCCAGAGACTTGCCTGTTGTTTCAGAGAGTTGGGAGATTAAGGCAGGAAGATCACAAATTTGAGGCCAGCTTCTGTAACTTAGTGAGATCCTGTTTCAAAAAAATAAAAAGAGTTGGGGGTGTGGCTTGGGTGATAGAGAGCCTCTGGGTTTAATCCTCAGTATCAAAAACAAAACAGAAACTCTAGTATTAATAATAATAATTGGCTGATTTATGTAATCTACTATGCTACACATGGAAGGAACAACCAGGAAATCTGGGACAATTTTACTTCTCTAGCTGTTATTTTATATTCTGAGGTCATACATTATGTCCATTTCAAATTATGTAGATATGTTTTAGTATATAGAACAAGAAAATACAATTTGCAAAGTATCTTTGTAATATTCCAATTTGTGATCTATTTAAGATATAAAAATTTATAGTCTCTTATTTCCTGAAATAAGACTCCATTTGTTATACAAATTGTATTTAAGTCTTTACTGGCAAAATGGAATATTCAATTGTTGAAATGATTTTCCAAGGAAGAAGTTTTAGAAAAAATTAGAGTTGAGAAATAGGATTGAGCTTTGGAACAAATTGATATAGAAAGTAAGTGGGGTTTGAAAATTCAGGGATGGCAAAATGAAAGGATAACATAAAGAGAATTGAAAATTGAAGGAATAATTTTTATAGGGAACTTATAAGAAATTATATTGGTAGAATATACAAAAAGATGATTTTTTTAAATGTAGGGTGATTTGTATTTAATACCTGAAATTAATTTTGACAAGTTTTAGGTAATCAAGCATTGAACAATTAAATAAAGTTTTTTTTCTTTTTTTCTTCCCTTTTTTTTTTTTTCCCCCTTTGGTACAGGGGATTGAACCCAGGGCCTTGTGCATGCGAGGCAAGCACTCTACCAACTGAGCTAAAATCCCCAGCCCAAGTTTTTTTTTTTTTTTAAATCTGGTTTTTCTTAAATGTAGAAACAGTACTTGTAATTGGAGCTTCTAATTTTTTTAAGTAGATGATAACTCATGATAAATTGTCTTATAATTTCAAATGTAAGGAATTTTGCAACTTGTATCTATAATATAAATGAAGACTTGTCTAATCTAAAATGATAGTTTGCTATTGTATAAATATGCATATTTGAAGTATTTTATTAATTCAACTGACATTTAAATACTAATTATGTGAATAGGCTTTGTAGGAGATAGGCAGGTTACAAATTTTTCCATCTAATGGGTAATTTAAAACATTTATCTTTGTCCTTTTAAATATAGAAAAGAGAAGGATTATTTATATACTTTAGTGTATAGCTGGAATGAAAAATACAATTATTCCTTTGTCATAGATTTCTTAATGGGAGCCTTTAATGGTCTGACATCTGGTAATGTAACCATTTCTTATACTCTTTTTATTTATAAAAGATGGCATGTTTTCAGGACTTGATTTAGGAATTTTGTTTACTCTCCAGAATGCTTTCAAGCAAAATTTTGTTTTTTTCTTTTTTGGCAGAGGTTACGCACAGAAAATAGACTTTTAAAACAGCGCATTGAAACGTTAGAAAAAGTAAGTAACTATTATGAATTTCTGTTGAATGCTTTTAGGATTTTTCCATATATTTAAGAAATTCTCAAAAAATTTGGCACATGTATCTCTTAAGTTGTGTTATTGACTGTTAACTTGCCTAGCTTACTGTTTAGCCGCATAGCTAGTTATTAATAAAAATTGATGGGTACAAGTTCCTGACCTTTCATATTAAGGTTTTAACTTGGGTAATTATTGGATTAATATTGATGTCATTTGTTTTCTTTCTGTGTAACCTCTAAAAAATACGTTCTTCTAGAATCTAATTGGGAATTGATTCTGATAACAACTTTTTAAAGATGATTCAAATGTTTTTTTTATTATTGATTGTTCAGAACATTGCAGAGCTCTTGACATATCATATTTCATACATTAGATTCAAGTGGGTTATGAACTCCCATTTTTACCCCAAATACAGATTGCAGAATCACATCGGTTACACATCCACATTTTTACATAATGCCATATTAGTGACTGTTGTATTCTGCTACCTTTCCTATCCTCAGATGATTCACATGTTGTCCTGGCTTCCTCATGGACTGTCAAGTGAGGCAATAATTCATTTAAGGTCTAGAATTACTTTACATTTACATTACTTTTACATTTAGTCAAAATGATTAAAATTCTTATCCCTTTGTATTCTTTATATAAAAATTCACTCTGATATTGATTTTCAGTAAAAGAGAGTTGTGTGTAAACTTTAGTTAAAATTATTTTAATATCTACTCATTGCCTCTTCTCTGTTTCATAATAATTGGCAGATGTGGAAATTTTGCATAATTTTTGTGTTGTGCTTTTGATGAACCTTTTGTAGTTGTGTTTCTGATACTGTAAGAATGAATGGAGTAATCAAAGCATAGTGTAGGAATTTTGCTTTATTAAAAGAAAAACACCATTTGAATTCACAGATTTTTTTTGTTGCTCCCTTTAAAAATTAGAGGCAAGAGTAACTAGGTTTAAAAATATTCCTTGTTATATTGTCAAGTATCTTTGAAGTCTTCCTGAAAGTTTATAGATAAATATCTAAGAAATAAAAAACTAGGAAAGGGATAATTTGCAGTGTTTGTCTTTCTTTCTTTCTTTCTTTCTTTCTTTCTTTCTTTCTCTCTCTCTCTCTTTCTCTTTCTTTCTTTCTTGTTTTTAAAGTTCTTTTTGGTTGTAGATGGACACAAGACCTTTATTTATTTATTTATTTATTTATTTATTATGTGGTGCTGAGGATTGAATCCCGTGCCTCACACATGCTAAGCAAGCGCTCTACCACTGAGTGACCACCTCAGTCGTTATATATATAGTAGTTGGACACAATACCTTTATTTTTTAAAATTTATTTTTATGTGGTGCTGAGGATCGAACCCAGTGCCTTGCACATGCTAGGCGAGTGCTCTACCACTGAGCCCTAGCCCCAGCCCCCTTTCGTTTTTTTTTTTTTTTAATTTTTTTTAAAAAAATCCTTTATTTTTTAAAAAATTTTTATTGTTGGTTGTTCAAAACATTACATAGTTCTTGACATATCATATTTCACACTTTGTTTCAAGTGGGTTATGAACTCCCATTTTTACCCCGTATACAGATTGCAGAATCACATCAGTTACACATCCATTGATTTACATATTGCCATACTAGTGTCTGTTGTATTCTGCTGCCTTTCCTATCCTCTACTATCCCCCCTCCCCTCCCCTCTTCTCTCTCTACCAAAACCTTTATTTTATTTATTTATTTTGATGTGATGCTGAGGATGGAACACAGGGCCTCGCACTTGCTAGGTGAGTGCTCTACCACTGAGCTACAACCCCATCCCCTGTCTTTCATTTTTAAAGAAAAGATGATTTCATATTAAATATCAGTGTACAAGGATAGGAAGTTTATTACATGTCTGTCTATTGTATAATAATTGCAGATACTGTATGTTAAGTAAAATATAGCTTCACTGTATGTCTCTCATTGTATTAGAGTTGCTTTGAGGCTATTTCTACTTTTTGGTGATGCCACATGAATGTTGAACTCAATTGTTTTTTTCCTCCTCCCCCATTCCCTAAACCTGGCTTAGAGTAAGACAATTTTCTAGGTGAATTTTTGTCTTTGGAGTCAGTCATTTTCAGAGAAAGTGTTCTTATCTTGTTAAACCGTTTAAAAGTGATAAAGATGCTGTAGGAAATTATTAAGTTTGGATTTTATTTCTAGAGAATTAAGTAACTTTTTTACTGGCTTAAATGACCTAGATGTGTCAACACTTAGAATTCTATAAATACTTACGTATCAGTTCAATTCTGTAACCAAAAAGTTTACTTGCTCATTATTACTAGTGTTTATTAAATTGAGCTGATTGATTTCATTTGTCTTATTTTCTTTACTTTATTTCTTTGGATGTTACTATGGCACGAATTGCTGTCACACTTTATATGTAGAATTGCTTACTCAAATTCCTTCTCCCTTTCATATATGTAGTTTGATAATATGATTAAAATTAAAGATGTAAAAAGGTAAGCTTTCAAGAGAAGATATTTACTTGCCCAAGTAATGAAAATCCACTTGGAATTTGTGTTCATTTTCTTCTTGGAAACACATGGTTTTTTGTAGTCTTTGTTTTGATGTATTTTTAAGAATAAAAACTTATTCAGTTAAAAAAAGTTTTAAATTTTTAGGTGTCCTTTTTAATTAACAATGAAAAGCAGTTGGAATTTGAGTACCTTTGTTTCTTCTTATTCCTAATTTTATCACTTTTATTTTCTTTCTCTTATATTTCTATCTGAATTTTTCCTTTTGTAGGAAAGTGCTTCCTTGGCAGATAGATTGATACAGGTATAGTTTTTTTTTTTTGTGTTTTGTTTTTTTTAAAGCATTTTCTCTAACTCTACTTTGAAGAAAAGTCCTAAACTCAGAAATTTATATTCTAATGCATGCAATTTTACATGCATTTTCCTAGAAATAATTTTTTGGGTGGTATATGGGTATAAATTTAATTTTTAATAACTTATCTAGTACACTCAAATAGGCACCTTTTGCACGTTATAAAGCTAACCTTATTTTTTAAAGTATTCTTTATTACAAATGGCAATCAGTGGATTCTTTGAAATTAACTGCTATTTGTTGAAAATTTTAGTCCTGCATGTACAACTCAGTAATATTGCATGAATTTTTATTGACTGAAAGAATTGTTCTTAAGATTGTCAATTAATTTTTCATTTAGTTTCCAAAAATTTTCTGGAGCAATAATAAGCTGCTAGTTAATAATTAACTAGGCTGTTCTATTCTGAGGTGATTCTTTTTTTAACATGTGAAAGTAAATAACTAAACCTCACAAAGGCAGTCTTTCTTGAATCTGTCCTAAATTGCTTTACACACAAAAAAATTATGTCCTAAGGGACAAGTGACAAGAGCCCAGGAGGCTGAGGAAAACTACCTCATAAAACGGGAGTTGGCCACCATCAAACAGCAGAGTGATGAGGCCAGTGCTAAGCTGGAGCAAGCTGAAAATACCATCAGGAAGCTCCAGCACCAACAACAATGGGTAAGGAGTCTGGTAGTGCCTTGTATCGCCTTTCTCATCCCTTTCCCTTTAAACCAAAAAAAAATTTTTTGAAGCACAACTTCTGTGCTCTTGTTTTAAATAATTTTTTTTAACTTTAATTGAAGTCTTAAATTATTCCATTTTATGTTCTGTAATATCTGGGGTCTTACTGTGGCCTAAAGACTCCTTGTTCTAGCCCCTCCCCCCAGTTTTGTTAGAAATAGTTAATAATTTCTTTCCTTACATTTCAAATCATAAAAAATAACCAGTGTATTTCAGATCTGCTTTTTAGGTTTTATAAATCTGTTTGACCATAGGTAATCCTGACTGCAGCTAGATTTTATTCATTGAGCAAATGTAGTATTAGTCACATACAGAATATATATAATTATCTTATTTTGAGTTTTGAGAATGTGTTAGTTTAGATTTTATGATATTCTGTAGCCTGGACTTCCTACATCAAGACATTGAATTATGAGTTAAGGTATATGCCTGAATGTTTTCAAACGGAGAAAAGTAGTGAAGATGAAAAAAAGTAACCCTTTAAAATTCATGTTAACTAACCTAGGATTCTTGATAACAATTTTTCATTCCAAGATTCAGATTAGGATTATCTTAATCAAAAATATGAAGATTCAAAAGAAAAGCCAACTCTCTATCTTTGAAAAGATATTCTTATTTTAGTTTTCTTTTGGCAAGTAGAAACTAGAACTCTACAAGTCTAGGGCAAATGGAATGACTACAAAGTTAGACATTACTTTTATTTAGTAAAATGAAGAAACAGCATCCTCATTTGGGTACAGAAGTCAGAAAAAAATTGATAATTGAAAAGAGCCATAAACACATGTTTCTTCTATTATGTTATTGAAGATGGCTAATACAAATGAGAGTGAGAAAATAATAACTCAGAAAACTAGAACTCAGCTATTTGTTCTGCCTTCATATAAAATGTCAGTAATATCAAAGCATGAAACTAGAATTGTTGAATCATGTTGGGAATTAAACTGACAAGAATTATCAGTACAATATCATTTGTTTAGAAGGAAAGATAAGTATTTTTTTTTCCTTTGGTGGTGGGGATTGAACCCAGGGCCTTGTGCGTGCAAGGCAAGCACTCTACCAACTGAGCTATATCCCCAGCCCCGAAAGATAAGTATTATGCTTGTATTTAGCATAAACTACTGTCTCAATATGTTAGAATCATGAATTAAGTTTTTTGCTTTGTTTCCAGTTATTGAAACCTTATAGGTAGATGTGTATAAAAAGAATATAAGGTTGTTTTATAATGAAAAAGTTAACTGAGCAAGCAAAAATTACAAGAGTGTAATGAGACTTTTATAAAGTGTAATGAAAGGAATCTCTTCGAGTTCCTTTTGAAGGACAAAATAGACCTGCTTGGTGGGGCCAAAATAAAGATGAACTAGGTTTCTGTTTTGATTGTTTTCATTTTTTCCCTTACCGAGAGGACAATTAAATGGAAATAAACTATAAAATGGAAGTATAAAGCAGTAATGTGCAGAGTAAATGAAAAATAGTGATAGCCTTGTTAAATTTCCAATTTTTAAGTTGCATATTTTAGATATTAAAATGACTTGTGGAATGATTATCTTTTTAAAAAATGTCTTTTTTAGTTGTAGATGGACACAGTACCTTTATTTTGTTTATTTAGTTTGTTTATGTGGTGCTGGGAATTGAACACAGTGCCTCATGCATGCTAGGCAAGTGCTCCACCACTAAGCCCACAACCCCAGCCCCTGTTATTATTATCTTTAAATGAGTTTTAGAAAATAAAAGATACTATAGGCATCAAGGTGGACAAATACATTTCTTACAGAAAATAATCAAGGTTAAATATCTGAAAAAAATGTCCAGGGTCTTTGATGATGCTTCATGAAAAAATTTCTAGAACATCTGTCTTCAAAAGCCATTGTATGCGCATGTCATAACAGAGTAATATCATACTTGTAATAAATAAAAACTGGATCACAAATACAGTTTTACAAGTTACTTGATGGACTTTCCTCATGACTATGTTTTCCGTCAAGGTAGAGAAATTAAAATAAAAGTAGCTGGTGTTAATAGGGGATTATATTAAGAGACTATTGGGGCTGGGGCTGGGGCTGGGGCTCAGTGGTAGAGCGATTGCCTCACATGTGTGAGGGACTGGGTTCAATTCTCAGCACCACATATAAACAAATGAAATAGACTATTGATGTTTAAAGGTCTTTGTGTCTTACACTTACACAGGATGCATTTTGTATTTAAATCTTCACATGCAGTTTTTATACATGAACTATTTAAAAATGGAACTAATATGTTAGATGATGAATCAAGATTCAAAAACTGTTTAATATCTACTTAGAATGAGAAGATAAAAGATTGTTTCCCCAAAACATATAGCCTTGTCCATTAGGTTTAAAATTCAAATGTGTATTTTACCAATGCCTTATGGAACAAAGATGTTGATATTTTAATTGACAAGAAATCAGAAATGAACCAGTAATAATATAATGTAGCTGTGACTTTAGACTCAAATCCTAAGTGCAGTCTTCTTAGAAGCAAAACAATCCTAAGTATTCTAAGTAGCTTGAAGAAGATTTGTAGTGTTGTATCTAGTTTGAATACCAAAACTTATGTGATCATTTACACACTATTCTTGTGGCTAGTGTAGGAAAGACAGCGGGAGCCCTGGATTTTTTTTAGGCTTCAGTAAAGAAGTTTTTAGAAGAACATTATACATAAGTCATTTTTCAGTATTTTAAAAGAAATCTATGCAAAATTATATATGGCTTCAGAAGGCATAGTGAATATAAGATCCCAAGACACAATATCTTATCCATTGGAATTTTGACAAATGAAATAGTTGCTTTACAAAGTAGTGACTGTACCATGAGTACCTATTGATAAATATTCTGATTACAGTCTTCCAGTATAACTTTATGAATTCTTAAACTCCCAGAATAAGGATTTCAAATCTGTATGGTAGTAGACAGTTATATGGTACAGATTTGAAATATAACTGTCTACTACCATCACTCACCACTGACAAATGGAAGTATTTTATATGATGCAAAGAATCTTAGATTTCATATATAGCACTAAATTTTAGTCATTTTTCTGTTTAATCTTGGACACTCAAGAATGCATTTTTGTTTTGTATTAGAAATGTTTAGGTCTAGACTATCTCAGGTCTCTCATTTTTAAGATGACCTTTAGTAGAGCATAATTTACATATTATGAAATTCATCAAGTTTAAGTATGATTTGATGTGTTTGAAATGTGTATGGTTGTATAACCCCTACCACAATCAAAATAAAGAATATTTCCATAGCTATCAAAATTTCCTTTGTGTGTCTTCAAAAGCCACTGTATGTATATGTCATAACAGAGTAACACCCATCCCAGTGACCTGTCTTCTATCACCATAGTTTTACCTTTTCTTAAAATCCACATATAAAATGTGAGACTTGTATGTCTTTTTCTTTTACTTTAGCATATCCATTTACTATTTTCTTTTTCTTTTGATGATTTTTTAAATTGTGACAAACATATACAGCATAAAATTATCATTTAAATTTATAATTCAGTGGCATTAGCACATTTACAGTGTTGGTAACCGCTATTTCTAGACCTTGAAATCACTCCAAATAAGCTCTATACCCATTAAATAATAATTCCTCTTTTTCCTAGTACCTGATAATCTCTATTCTGCTTTCTATCTCTGTGAATATACTCAATCTGTGTAACTTAAATGAGTGGAATTATGCAATATTTGCCCTTTTGTGTCTAGCTTATTTTGATTAACATTAATATTTTCTATATGTTGTAGCATTTATAAAAAATTTATTATTTTTATGTCTGAGTAATGTTCCATTGTATGTATATAGCAATTTTGTTCATTCATTTGTTGGTCATCATTTATATTGTTTCTACTTTTTGGCTATTGACAAAATGCTGTTATGAATATTGGTGTATAACTATCTGAGTGCCTGCTTTTAATTCTTTTGTGTATATACCTAGATATGGGTTTACTAGATCATATATATAATACCATGTTTAAGTTTTTGAGGAAGCACCAAACTGTTTTCTACCATGGCTGTACCATTTTACATTGTCATTAGCAATGTCAATAAGGTTCCAATCTCCACATCCTTCTCAACTCTTGGTATTTTGTTTTTGTTCTTAATAATAGCCTTCTTAGTAGATATGAGGTAGTATTTCATTATTATTCAGATCTTACTTGAAATTGAAAGTTCTTTCAATGCAAAGACCATACCAAATGTACATTTAAATGAGTTACTTTTTGACCCAGATTTTATGATAGCCCCCCTCCCCTCTTTTTTTCTCCAAATACAAGCAGAAGCCAATTGGATGGTCATGAGAACGAAAACAATCTTGACTGCCATTTTATTTGTTAATTTATTGTTAAGATATCAACTTAAGTTTGTGTAAACATTTTGTATTTTGCTCAGTCTTATAAGATGTGGACATCTTATAATGGAGTGAATATTAATCTATTCATTTGAAAACCAATGGGCAAAATATTATCTTTAAGTGCGGAGGGGATAATAATAACCAAGGGAAATGAAGCCTGCTATTGCATAGAGTGTTCTGGTGTGAAAGACACATTTAAACAAATTAATATGATTTCAATGGTGATAAAGGCTTCAACAAAAAAGAAATCAGGAACAAGGTAGTATGTATGGGTGCTATTGTAGGTAGGACAGTTATGGTATGCTTCCCTGAGGAAGTAACATTTGGCCAAAGACTGAATGATATAAAGAAGAAAAGCATTTGACAATATGAATTTCTCAGCTTCCATACAGAAAACATGGCTGTGTATATAGGTGTTGATCAAGGAATAAGTTTGGGGTATTTGGGGAACAGCAAAATGTATTCTTATAAACCCTAGGGAAACCAACTAAAAATTCTTGTGAAGAAAAGATATGTAGATAAGTAGGAAGTAGTAGAGACAAAATAGAGTAATTAAAAAAATCATT